TTGCACAGGATTGCTTTCTTGCTCAGGATTTCTATTCTGAGTCTCCTATTATTCCAAATTTAAGAATTGTTTTTTTCTAATTCTGTGATGAACATCTTTGGTATTTTGATGGAGATTGCCTTGAATCTCTGTACCACTTGTGGTAATATGGCCATTTTGGAAATATTAATGCTGTCTATCTAAGAACATGGGATGTTTTTCTATCTTATAAAGTCTTCTTTAACTTTTTTCTGTGTTCTTTAATTTTCGTTGTAGAACTCTTTTATCTCCCTGGTTAGATTAATTCCCAAGTATTTTATTTTTTATGGTTATTATAGATAGAGTGATTTCAGTGCTTTCTTTCTCAGCAAAGTCACTCTTGGAGTATAGGAAAGCTACTGATTTATGAATGTTGATTTTGTATTTGCTACTTTGCTGAATTTATCAGCTCTAGAAGTCTTCTGGTATAGTATTTTTGGGTCTTCACCATATAGGATCATGTCATTAGCAAATTGATAATTTGATTATTTCTTTTCCTATTTGTATCTCTTTAATTTTCTTTTTTGATTTCTCTGGCTAGAGTTTGAAGGACTATATTGAATAAGAGTGGTGAGAATAGACATCCTTGTCTTGTTCCTGATTTTAGCGGAAATGCTTTAATTTTTTCTTCATTTATTACTAGTTTGGCTTTAATTTTTTCATATATATACTTTATACTGTTGAGGTAAGTTCTTTCTATTCCTAATTCCTCAAGTGTTTTAAACATGAATGGGTGCTGGATTTTATCAAATACATTTTCTGCATCTATTGAGTTGATTGTATGATATTGTCCTGTTATGGTTTAGATATTAGGTGTCTACCAAAAGCTCATGTGTGAGACCATGGAAGAGAGTTTAAAGATGAAATGTTTGGGTTATAAGAGATTTAACATAATCAGTACATTAATCCCCTGATAAGGATTAATTTGTTGATAGCTATAGCACATAGTGTGTGACTCCAGGAGGTGGATTCCTTGTGGTATGCCTCTGGGATTTCTATTTTGTTCTTAATGAGCAGAGCTGTTTCTTGGCTTCCTGGTACCTGTTCCCAGCTGATTTTGTCTGCCTCACATTTTTATCATGATGTTCTACCTCACCTCAGGCTCAAAGGAATACAGTTGTCTATTTTTGCACTGAGACTGTTTAAACCGTGAGTGTCAAATATACTTTTCCTTCTTAAAATTGTTCTGGTTTGATTTTTTGGTCACAGCAGCAAAAACAAACAAACAAATAAAACCCACAACTGACTAAAACATGCCCTTAATTCTATTTAAGTGGTGAATTATTACTCTTATTGATTGTAATATTTTGAAACAACCTGTATCCCTGAGATGAAACCCCCTTGACCATGTCGTATTGTATTCTTGATGTGTTTTTGAATGTGGTTTGCTAATATTTTATTAAAGATTTTTGCATCTGTATTCATCAGGGATATTGCTTTGTTGTTTTGGTATCAGTGTTATACTGTCTTCATGGAATGTACAGAAGGGGGGGTTCCTTTCTTTTCAATTTCCTGTAATAATTTGAGGAAAACTGGTGTTAGTTCTTTAAAGGTGTGGTAAAACTTAGCTGAGAATCCATCTAGTACTGGGTTTTACTTTGTTGGAAGGCTTTTAATTGCTGTTTTTTTAAAATATTTTTTTAGTTGTAGATGGACACAATATTTATTGATTGATTTGTTTGTTTTTATGTGGTGCTGTGGATCAAACCCAGTGCCTCACACATGTAAGGCAGGTGCTCTACCACTAAATCACAGTCCCAGCCTTTAATTGTTGTTTTAATTTTATTATTTGAGTTGTTCTGTTTGGATTTTTATATCCTTGTGTTTCAATTTGGGCAGGAAATAGGTGGCTAGAAATTTGTTAATGTCTTCTAGATTTTCCAGTTTATTAGAATAAACATTTTCAAAATAGTTTCTATTTTGAATAGTTCCTATTTTTGATCCTCTGGATTTCAGAAGTATCTGTGATGATATTTCCTTGTACATCTCTAATGGTCTTTATTTGGATCTTCTCTCTCTTTCCTTTGGTTAGTTTTATTAAGAATTTATCAATATTGTTTATATTTTCAAAAAACCAATGGTTATATTTTCTTAATTTACGGTTTTTACTGAATTTTCTGTTTCCTCTGCTCTTTTTTTCTCAACTTTTCACCCTTCTCATTTTGTCATTTGCCCTTCTGTTATGGGATTCTCATACAGAGAGACTCGGCACTGGGGCATTCAGCAGGAAGCAACATTTATTAGTGCCACCACTGGCCCAGTGGATTGTTATCCATAGGCTAAGCCCTGAATGCAGGAAGCGTTGCCTTTTATACCTTTTGTTAGTTCCTCTTTTTCTTGCCAACTGTCTCCCTTGAAAGGTAATACTCATTCTGATTGGACATTCTACTTCTATAGTGAAGAGTTTCAACAGTGTTATAACAGAGTTGTGGCATGTGCACATCCATACTGATGGTGCCATGTTGTTTTTTTCCCATCCACACTTCCATTTCCTCTTGTTTCTCTTACTTTTAAAGTAGATTTATAACATAATATTCATTTTATTATCTGCAGAGTTTAGAAACAGTTGTTCATAGTGGTAGGATGGGGAACATGAATAGGGGAACAAGGGTGAGAAAACTAAAATGGTTTTTGAGAATAGGAAAGAAGTAAATCGCATTTTTGCAGAAGTCTCCTTAACAAATCAATAGTTTCACACCTGTATCTACTTACTATATATATGGAGGGCCATTCTAAGAACAGAAACACTGATCAAGATAATTAAAAGTAAACTATTATGTTATCTTGCTCTAAGCATGTAGATATAATGTTGGTTGTTAGAGGTACTGGGAATTGAATCCAGGGAAATTCTATCACTGAGCTATACCCTCAGTCTTTTATTTGTTTTATTTTGAGATAGTGTTTTACTATGTCTGGCCGTGAACTTGAAATCCTCTTGCCTAAGCCTTCTAAATAGCTGGGATTATAGGTGTGTACCACCATTTCCAGCTTATAATAGTAAACACTTTAATCTTTTACAACATTAAAATACATACATGTGATTTAAATATTAATATGAATTATATCTGAATTTGTGATTTTCAGATTATCTAACATGTTTCAGGTTCTAACTATGTGTTTTATAACTTTTCTCTCTTTAATGGTAATTACATTAAATAATCCAATATCAATTTAAGGAAAAAAGGAGTTAACCCATGCATACATTTTGCTTAAGCTTCAGGTTATAGTTTTCTTCTTTTTATCTTCTTGTATTAATATACTTTTCACTTGAAGACTTTATTATCTGACTAAATGTCGCAAGTAGTATAATTAGTAAATATAGAAAATTTGTTGAATAAGTTAGTGTCCTTGGATGAGAGAGCATGTATGTTTTCAAAATTATTTAAGTAATAAAAATATCATTTTGCTTTCCCAATGCACATTAAAATATGGGAGCAAGTTTACTTTAGTACAAGCCCCTGAAAATTGAAGTACTTGGAGTTTGGGAGCTCTAATCTGATATTAACTTGTTTTCCATAATCTGGAGATTCTCTAGCATAAAGAATAATAAACATAATAAATGTTAATTATAGATTTTAATGAATCATACCTGTAAGATATATAGTAGAACATATGATTACATTTTTATAGGGAAGAATCTTACAAAAATTGTGATAAAATTCTAGCATTTTTGTCTATTTAAATGAAAGTTTTAGGCAAAAGATTTTCTCTGAAAACTGTTATAATGTATTCTGATTGCTAATAGAGAAACAGTTACTTATAATGCCTGAGTCAGAACAGGTGAATGAATCTATTCCCTAATTTACTTACTTGAGAACTTTTTTTAACTCTATTGTTATTAATGAAATGAGAATAATGTAGTATCCAGGGCACTGGAATATCTAAACTTATGTCTCCTTGCAATATCTCCTAGAAAAATAAGCACTTTATTATCCTGAGGCCTTGTCATCAGAAAACACTTCAGAAATAAAAATAGACAAATCTTGTTTGAAGATGTTTTGGCTAAGTTTCTGTTGGACTGGGTCCTAAAATTAAAAATGCTGGAAGACTGTCTTTGCTTCTTGTACTCTTATGTCTGCAACTTACTAGTCTTATTGATATTAAATATGTAAAGTCCAGTCACCCATCAAAGAAAACAGGCAAGTAGGAGATGTTTATTTGGAATAAGGACTAAGGAATGAGAATTTGTTCCAATTCCTAGATGTGGGTAGGCCTAAATCATTTGTTAGTGTCTTTCTCTGTCCTTTTTCACCTGCTTCTTGGAAGGATAGATATTCAGTGCAAAATAATTTGTCCTTGTGTCTAAGAGTTACCCACCCAATCATATCAGATAAAGACAGGGGCAACTTCTAAATAGGAGTGCAAATGCATAGTGTGGTGGAAAGGTCTTTATGCCTCTTATTCCTTCTGCCTCACCTTAGAAGTAGATACTAATGTATATTAAATGAGAATACATCAGTCAGTGAATTCTCAATGAAATATTCTTTGTTTTTTCTTTTTTTTCTTTCAAATGTATATATTATATTCAATTAGGCTGATATACTTTATGCTCCTTTGTATTGTTTTTAGCACATATTTTTTTCACATTTCTACCATTCTTAGAATGGCTTTTTTTGTTTACAGTTCAGTCCAATAAAACTGTAATTGCTTAGTTCAAGACTTTTATTTTTCATGAAATCCTATGAGAGTAATATACCAAGCTTAAAATACTTGCAAATTCTTTAGAAGTTTATCATTTTTTCTTTATTAAACTGACCAATAATACTTATGACCTTTTCAACATTACAGTTTTATATTGTATTTGACTATTTAGTTTTCCTTATGTTTTTGTCTTGTTTCTCTTTTAGACTTAAAATAACCTGAGAGCAAATACTATGTCTTATGTTGTCAATATATGTTTCTATGTATATATAAAGGCACATATATCTACAGGCATTAATCTAGTTTATGATTATTAATATAATCTGAATGTTTTTAAACAGCTCTACAGTGAGTTACACGTTTGTTTTGAAACCACAAAATCAAATGAATCTATGCTCCGTCAAAGTGTCGTTAATCTTCAGGATCAACTATTTCAAAAAGAACAAGAAAATGCAAAATTAAAAAAAAAACTTCAAGAATCACAAGGAGCACCATATTCTTCACTTCAAGAAAATGATTCAGACCACTCAGCACAGGTGAGAGACATATTATAAAAATATTAGCCTGTATAATACTATATTAAATTATCTCTTACAACTTTAAAACAAAATTTAAATAAATTTGCATATAGTGGGATATTAGTAGTGGAATTTTTTTGTTTTACTATTGTCTTTAGTCTTTGTGGACATGAATATTGTATACATTAGAGATTCTTTTAGAAATGTAAATAGAAATAGAGACTACATTAAGCAGTCAACCCTCCACTGAGTATCTGCAAGTTCCACATCCATGAATTAAACTAATAAGAATAAAATACATTTGAAAAATTTTCAAGTGTACTAAACATGGACAGACTTTTTTATTAAGATTATGCCTTAAAATATTGTATATAAATATTTTCATAGGGATTATGTTATATTAGGTCTTATAAATAAGAGATGATTTAAAGTACACAAGTTTTACACAAATATAAGAATCTGCAGATTTTGATATGTAAAGGGTATCCTGGAACCATTGTGTTATGGATATAGAGGGACAAGTATGTAATCAATTATTTTGATTATTGAAGAGCAAATAAATAGATCATTTCTATTTTGATACATTATAACTGAAGGAGATAATTGAATAGAGAGTATCTAACAGCACATCTCATAAAGTACTTGCCATAATGCCTTGTACACAGTGGTCAATATGTATTGGTCTTGATTCTTCCAGTATATTTACTTTTGATTTTAGACAAATCATTTGACCATTCTGATTATTTTCTATGGTAAATCAAGAAATTTATTACCACTTTAACCAAAGTTTCCTCATAAATAAAGCGTTGATATTAGTGGTATCTATGTCATAGAATTTTGTGAGGATTAATGATATAGTTCATATTAAGTACAGTATTTGACATACAGAAAATGTTCATTAGTACCTCTTTTATATTATCTCCAGGTTAACTTTCAAGTTAAATATCTTTTTAAAAATACTTTATTTCTGTGAATTTATTTGTGTGTTTAAGGTACTTACAGCAATTCTTTAAATTTTATGATTTATTTATTTAAAAATAAAAATTCATTTAACAGAAATAGGAAATTGGGTGAGTATTTAATGATTTTTTAAAAATATCTAATTTTTGAACCTAGCACATTTTCTCTTGCTAATAACTGAACCTTAATACAGCTGTTTTAAAATTTTGCACTGTATTGTATTACAGTTTTATTTTTTAACAGCTAATGCATTGAATTGGGTTGATCATAAAATTTGCATCATGACACATTATTATTTTATATGTGTAGACCTACTTAATTTAATTTAGTTGCATTATTTGCTTGTGTATTATATATAATAAATTGTCTTGTCCTACTAACTCATCTAAAGACTAGAACATTACTAATGACTGATATCTATGTGTATTTCCTTCCTTACCCTGGTACCTTGATTTTTTTTTAAAAGATTTTTTTTAAGTAAGAATGAAGCAATATTATATTTTTTTAAGCCTTTATTTTATTTATTTATTTTTATGTAGTGCTGAGGGTTGAACCCAGGGCCTCACATGTGCCAGGCAAGCACTCTACCATTGAGCTATAGCCCCAGCCGTACCTTGATCTTTTTACTAGGAGTAACCACTAAACTATTTACCACTTCCATTATTTTAAAAAAGTTTTATCACATAGGAATTTGTGAGGAAATGGTATATTGAACTTCATCACTTGTAGAAGTGGTATTATAATATGTATTATCATATTGTGTTTGACAATTTTTACTTATCATCATGTTTCTAAGACTCATCTCTGCTGTTTATAGCTATTTATTTTCACTTTTTAATGTATTCTATTTCATTACTACCAATTAGTTATCTTTTTCTAGATGAGTACTTGGGTTATTTATAGTCTTTTGTTGTTATCAATGTATCTTATTATAGCATCACAAACAGACTAAAATACCATATATTCTTAGAATGATGAAAGCTTTGATAAACAGGTACTGAATATATACATTGCTTTTTATGAACCTTTTATAGACTACTAAAGTTATTTCATTAATGTTGTGAATTACAGCAATTAGTTTTGAATTATTGATTCAATTTTCTATTTCTTAAATGAGTCTAACATAATGTTTTATCATTTTCATATATTGCTAAATTCAAATTCGCTTATTTTGATTAGGGTATCTGCATCTATGTTTATGAGGGTTATTGGACTGTACTTCTCCTTTCTTGAATGTTTCCCATCAGATTTGATATAAAGTATTGTTGGCATTTTATTATGAATTGCAAAGAACTGTCTCTTTTTCATATCCCTGAAAGAATTCATGTAATAGTGATATCATTTATTTCATAATGGTAAACACTGAATGCTTTCCCTCTAAGATTAGAAACAAGTCAAGAATGTTCTTTCTCACACTTTCTTTTCATAATTATCCTGGAGATTCTAACTAGTACATACATGAAATAAGAAACCAATGAAAACATAGAAATTAGAAATAATGAAGTGAAACTATTTATAGATAACATGCTATTTGTATAGAATCCTTATAATTTATGAAAAAGCTTCTAGGACTATTAAGTAAATTTGGAAGTGTTGTATGGTATCAACTTATAAGTCACTTATATTTCTATATAAAAGGAAATAATCAGCAATTGAAAAAAATGTCATTTATAATGACCTCAAATGTTATGTAATAATTAACAATGGATTTGACAAAGCGGTGAGAGGATTTGTACTTTAAAACGTATAAAACATACTAGAGGGAAAGTCAAGAAAATGCCATTACATTAAATGGGCAACTACACTAAACTCAGGAATCAGAAGTTATAAGAAGGCTAGTTTTCCCTAAATATATCTATCATGAAATCTTAGTCGATCTCTGTGGAGCCTGGTTTTCTTTTAAAGAAATTGACAAGCCTATTCTAAAATTTATTGGGAAATGCTCAAGACAAAATGATCAATAGAACGGAATAGAGTTAAGAAATATACCCATCTGTGTTAGTCAGCCTTTCGTCACTATGACCAAAATAACTTGACAAGAACAACTTAGAGGGAGGAAAGATTTATTTTGCCTCACTGTTTCAGAGGATTTAATTTATGATTGGCTATCTGCAAAGTATAAACAACATCACAGAATGTCATGGTAGAGGAAAGCTGTTCAGCACAGGGAAACAGGAAGCTGAGAGAGAGAAAGACAGGAAGGAGCCTAGGACTGATACAGTCTCCAAAGCTGCTTCCCCAGTTGCCAGCTTCTTCTAGCCATGGCCCACTTGCCTACAATTATCACCCAGTAGTTTTTTCAGCTTATTAATCTACTGATGAGGTTACAGTCCTCACAATCTAATCATTTTCTAAGAACCTCACCTCTGAAACTTTCAATATATGAGCTTTAGGGAACATTGCAGATTCAAACAATAATAACTGTTCACATATGTAACTTTAAAGTAACTTTTGAAATGACAGTAATGTAAATCACTTTATTCTCTTTTTAGGAATACTGTATATATTTCTCATTTTTTTGTAGAGATTTTGGTATCATCTTGTCAGTTTCTACAAACAAGTATTGAATTAGAAACATTTATTGTTTCCTTTGTGATTTTTTTGTTTGCCTTTTTGTTACTTAAAAGCATCTGATTAACTCTTGTTTTTATATATGTTTTTCTCTCCTTTTATATCTTCTTACGTTTACAGACTTCCAATGCACATTAATTTTGGTCAGATATAGTACTCTGCAAGACTGCTATATTATGAAGTTTATTGAATCTTTTATGGCTCAGCATATGGTTTTGTTGAAAATACTATATATACCTGAAAATAATTTATACATTGCACTATAGGGCTGAATGTTCCTTAAACATTAATTATGTCATTGCAGCTGGTAGTATTCAGATTCTATGCCTCAATTTTTCTATTGTTTTTTTAAGAGAAACATTAAAATCTCCCAATATGACTGTAGATTTATTTTTCTCCCTTTAGTTTTTTCAATTTTTCTTTCATTTGTTTTAAAGCTGTTATATTAGGAGAATACATATGAAGATTATGTCTTTTTGATTAAAACCTTTGTCATTATAAAAAGTAAGATTTAACTGCTATATTCTGTAGATTTGAAATCTTCTTTCATAATGTTAGTATAACTAGTCCTTCCTTTTAGTGATTACATTTTACACAGTAGAACTTTCCCATCCCTTGAATTTCAACCTATAGTTGTCTTTAAATATTTTTATATCTGTATATCTCTATATATCTAAATCTTGTGTGATCTGGATCTTGTTTTGTTTCAATTCATTCTGACAATTTCTTGATTTTCATTGCAATGTTAAGTCATTTAAAAATATAACATTATTATGTTTGGTTTCAGTATACTATTTTATTACTTTTTGTTTGTTTGTTTCCTCTGTATTGCCCCTTCATTTATTTTCTTCCCTTCCTTTTAGATTAATTGTTTTAGGTAATTGTTTTGTTAAGCAGTTTAAAAGTGTCAGTTTTCTGTCTTCTGGACTCCATTGTTTCTGGTAATAAGTGTGTAAGAGTTCAGTTTGTTTTTCACTTAAATGAAATTTGTTGGTTTTCTCTTGATTCTTTTTTTTGAAGATTTTGGTTTTAAGTATTTTAGAATGTATCAAGTTTGTTTTTTACTGTACTTATGATCTTGTAATTTCCTGAGCTTCCTTGTTTTTTTTTTAATTTTAATTTGTTATATATAACAACAGAATGCATTACAATATTACAATTCTTATTACACATATAGAGCACAATTTTTCACATCTCTGGTTGTACACAAAATAGAGTCACACCCTTCGTGTATTCATACTTGTACTTAGAGTAATGATGACCATAGAGTTCCACCATCTTTCCTACCTCTAGGCCCGCTCCCTTTCCCTTCATCCCCTCATCCCCTTTGCACTATTTAGAGTTCATTTAATCCTCCCATCTCCACCACCCTGCAGCATGTTATGAATCAGCATCAGAGAAATCATTCAGCATTTTTTTTGGGGGGGAATTGGTCAACTTCACTTAGCATTGTATTCTCCAGCTCTATACATTTACCTGTAAATACC